GTGCGGGGGGGGCGAGCCGGGGCAGCAGCCTGGCTTCCAGAGCAGCGGGTCCTGCTGGGGAAATGAGAACAAAACCCCCCCAAACCAGCCCACCCGCTTTCATCTGCGCGCAGGAGGGGAATAAACTCATTTCGAAAGGACCCCGGACCAGGCCCTGGCTCCTCGCTCTCGTGTTCGCTGTGAGAAACTCTCAGCAACGTGGAACTGAGTCTGCACACGTGAGGGGGTTCGGTGTGGATGAGAAGCGGTTTATTTTCATGACTGAGTAGCTGAGAAGCTGCGTTGGGAATTCCACCATCAAAGCCCTGCCTGAGCAACAAAGGCTGGGTTATTTTAATTTGTGAAAGGACTGCAGCCTTTGAAGCTAAATATAATGCCAAACCAGTGGCTTCCTCTCCTCTAACGCGCGCCTTGTGTGCGCGGCTCGGGGGACGAGCGGCCGCTGGCCCTGCAGGCGGTTAGCGCGGGACATGTGGCGAGAGCGTGGCTGCCATCGAACAGGGCACGTGTGAACGCTCCGCGGCAGAGCGCGCAGGCTGGGCTGTGTTAAAGAAACACCCGAAACAGGAGAGACTTTGCCTTCAGGGGCTCTGAGCAGCCATGGCTCTCCCCAGCTTCCCGAGGCACCGGCTGTGGGAAGCGCCGAGAACAGAGCCTGCCCTTGTTCCGGGGCCGAGACGTGGGTTTAGGAGACCAGCTGTGAGCATCTGACTTGTACATTTTGGCCTCAAGCCCTGAGCTCGCAACGATTTAAATCAGCGGAGTCGGTTACCTGTGCGCTGCTAAGGGGCTGTGCAGAACCAGGGCCGTTGGGGTAAAGCAGTCTGAGACCCAGTGACCAAATCGGATTTTCACCTAAGTAGGCGGATTCACCATATCTTCACAGACGGGCGTACGCTGCGCTGCCTGGGGGCTGCAGCTCCTTTTTTGCAGCAGTTTTTCCTCCTGCTGCTCCGCCGCGGCTCGGGGCAGTCGCCGGGTAGCGGTGTCTGGAGGGGAGCTGGCCGTCCCCCGCGACGCGCTGCCTGGCTCGGGGGCAGCTTTCGCAGGAAGCCCGTTCAGCATCGCAGCAAAAATTGTGTGGAAGCTGCATTCAATTTTCCGATGCAAAGCCCACGGCTTTTGTGTGGGAGTAGAAAGAATGGTTTTATTTAATGACCTGCTGAGTTTTCCATTTGTTTTATTGAACAAGAATTGGGGTGAGGGAGAAGCTCCGCTCAGCAAAATCCCCGTGCCTGCGCAGAGTGGGCAGAAACTTGTGTCTGTCCCGACTTCAAATGCTGCGAACGGTTGTGTCCGAGGGCCAAACCGTGCCACGTCGCCGGAG